GATGTTCTTCGAACCAATGTATGGGCTTCTCTCTTTGGTTTTTTCTTTTTCCCTTTTTTCGGTTTGAATAGGATGTATCTTTGGGGGGGTTTTCTCTCCGTTCTCTCCGAATACTCTTCACTGTTTTCTTTACTCTCGTTTTTTTCTCTTTGAAATTGGTTTTTCTTTTTTGTTCTGCCTCTATCTTTTAATGTGATGGTTGATTAATTTTTTTGTTGCTACTGAGAAAATAGGGTTTGATTACCCTATTTTCGGCTTATGACAGAGCCAGATCTCCCTCGAGATTCTTTGGATTTGCTTCTATTTTTTATTGATTTTTTAGATTGATTTGTTGTACTTGTTTTCTGTCACTGTTGATGATTTTCGTAACCGTTTTTCGGCGGAACAATTATTTAATTGTTTTAAAAACAGTTTCGACTTTAGTTTTGGAAAATAGGGTGATTTTGAATTAATTTGAATTAAATTGAAAAGAGTCGTCATCGACCTTTGGATTAGGTAGTTCGAATACCTAAAAACGTCTTTTAAAAACAATTTTAAGAAAAATTATTTTTTTAAGACAAAAGTTGGTTTGCGTTTACCAAAGATTCAATTAAAATGGGTTCGGGAGTCGGTTACGCGTGGGGAAGGATTAGCACCCTCACAATGCCCAAAACTGGTACCGTGTCACTTATATATTGTCGTAATGGTAAAAATTATGAATTCACATACAAAGTTAAACTATGATCTGTTTACTGAAATTTAATTCATTTGTTTCGAATTAGTAATTTAAAGAAAATCTTTTAACTCGATAAAAAATCTTGAAATTTGATATCCTCCGTCGGGAAAGCTATTTAAACTATTTTTCATTCGTAAAAAATATTTCTCCTTAGTGATAAAATGCAAATCGAATATAAATTGAAAATTGACGTTTTGCATAAAAAATAAAAATAAATTAATAGAACCACATTGACTCATTCATATAAAAATATTTAATTAATAAAATAATATATATATATATATATATATATATTAATGAATAAAGAATAAGAAATTTCATATTTAAAAATAATGCTATGTATAAATAATACTTAGAACCAAAACATATCAAACCAATATATATATAATATGAAATATGCTATAATAGATGTAATTACGTGCATAATATATTTATATATATACATAAAATGATAACGATAAATAAAATAAAATTATAAATTTGGACTAACATGCACATTTATAAACATGACAATCTAAAATAAAAATAAGCATGTTTAATAAAATAATAATGACGGTAAATTAAAAGACATAATAACAAACATGAAAAACATCATGATAGAAATAAAATATAACATAATATAGGTACTGATAAAGAAAATAAATCATATAGAATATACAGGACCAAAATGAAAACAATAAAAAATTAGTACCTCATTCAAAATAATTAGAAAATATGAATAAAAAAAACTTAGGACCAAAATACAACACGCACAACTTTAACAGTTAAATGTATAAAACAGTAAAGATTAAATACAATAATCCTTAGGACTGAAATTAAATGAACAAAAACATATAAAGACCGAATTAAAAACATCAAAAGACTCAATTTGAGAGCTAAAACGTAAATTAACAAAATTATGGGCTAAATGTAAAAATATCATTAAACTCAGAACAATTTAACCAAGGATCATCTTGCAAAAAGACACCTAAATATGAAGGAGCTAAAACTAATTTACCCCCAAGGCCAAGGTGACTAAAAGTTAATTTTACCCAAACAATTTAATATAAAATCTAAGCTAAAAGAAAACCTAATCTAAACTTGCACAGCCGCATTGCTCTCTATTCTCTCCTCTGACCCTCTTCTTCTCCACATCACCACTCTTCCTTCTCCAACAACCCTCTCATCTTCTTCTCCAAGAACTCCGATGTTCTTCACGCCGGTGCTACCTCATCCAAGTTGCCATCATTACCGTTCGGACCCAAGCTCTCCCCTTTTCCTTCCAGGACCGAGAACCCTTGCAACCCGAAACCACAAGTCGTCGACTACTACTACAAACCGGTGAAGGGAAGTCTCCTATTTTTTTTCTATTTTTTTATGATTTCCACCTGGGTTTTATTTTTGTTTTCTATTGTTTCTGCTGTTATTTGGTTCGAATATGATGCTCTCTTTATCTCTTTTTCCCTTGCCTTGTTATCTTCTTCGGTCGAGAAACTCTAAAACTCTCTAAATTGGCCACCCCACGCCATGGTGGCCGATTGAACTTTAAACTGACTTATAACGTAAACACCTTCCCCTCTAATCTAAATCCAAAACATACTCTACATAATTAAAAGTAACGACCCTAAAAACTAACACCCAACGATGCCATCTTCTCAATTTACATACCTATTGAAATGAGTAAACTACAAAGATATTTAGAATAAAACAAAGAAGATAACCTGTTTGTAAATTGCTTAATTTTGCTGCCCTTGGATTTGTTGATTGTTTGCTGTCAAAGATGAGGAAAATGCTCAACGTATTGTTTGTATATTCTGTGATTCGAATGTAAAAAAAAATAAGAAAGGCTTTGATTTGCTTTTTCAAAATTAATTCTCATTTCCTTTCAATAAGATCGGAAAACCCGAATCTCTTAATAATCACTGTCCTTTTTCTTACAATGAATTCCCCCCTCCTTCTGAATGATATATTCCTTTCGTTTTTATAGTTGCCTGATTCAACTCAGTGGGAGATTAGGTTTTAGGTTTGATTATTTTAAGGGCTTTAGTGGAGTTGTGGTAATTTGTTGGCCGATTTGGTGCAGGTGATGTTTGACGTATGCAATGACAACCTTCGGTGGCTCGGTGGTTCAATGGCTCGGTTGATGTCTCACAGTCGGGTGGCTTGACCTGCGGCAGAAGTTGATGAGTTGGTCACTGTTGCGATGGTTGCTGTCATTAGCAGTGCTAGAAACTATTTAGGGTTAAAACCCTAATTTGGTTTGGGTCTTCATAAGCTTGGACCGATTCATGGGTTTCAGATCTGGGCTTGTTATTGTATTTGGGCTTTTGGGAATAGGCCTGTAACAGTTTATAAAATGTAATAATTATTATTAATAATAATATAATAATCATAATCATAATCATAATCATAATAAATATAATAATAATAATATAATAATAATAAGTATAATATATATATTTTTAATCCCGATAAAAAACGGGTGGGTGCCTACAATGATGACGACGGGATTGATCGGCTCCGATGGTAGCGGCGGCGAGAGTGAAGCTCGGATTGAGTGGCGACTGGTTGCTGGTGTTAGGGTATCAAAAACCCTAAATGTCATTGATCTATATTGTTGGATAAGTTTATATCGTATAATTAGGGGTTACGGCGTATGGCTTGAGATGAAACCCTAATCGAGTTCTGGGTCAACTACTTAAGCCTTGAAATTGGGCTACAGTCGGACTAAAACCGGGTGGGCTGTTGTAATCCATTGTAATGGGTTGTGGCATTGGGTTATTTGTAATTTGGGCTTGTATATTGGACCTGCAAAATTTTAAAATATTATATTAGTATATTTTATTTATAATAATAATAAGTAATAATAATAATTATAATAATAATAATAATAATAAAATCCGAACAAAAACGGGTGTCTACAGTCATATTTTCTCTCTCCTTTTGTTTTCTTCTGCTCCATTATTGAGCTTGGAGCTTTATTTATAGGCTTCAAACTTTTTGTAGAGAGTTCTGATTCGTATATAAGGAAGTTAAGATTCATATTCCTTAATTCATAAACTTCAAATCCAGCTCAACAGCTCCAAAAATGGAAATTTTTAATAAAATTGGTATTTTGGTTAGATTTAAGAAATGAAGGATTTCTCAACCTATTTTCCATTCTCCTTTTCATTTCTAAGTTCATTTTTTAGATTCTCAGTAGTTAAGATGTTATTATGATTCATATATTTTATTGGTTAAGTGGAAATAGAGGTTGGAGGACTATACATGACAATAAAAACAATGAGAAGGTAGTATAGATGTAGTTAAAGGTTTCATCTTGCTTGGAAATAATGTGTAATACACCTAAAAGTTTGAAGTGCTTTATAAAAAAATGTGTTTGTCTAATGGCTTAATATGGTGTGTAGTGTGTTTATGATATCACACCGTGGTTATGTTGGATTATTGAAAAAAGGTGTTTTTATGTACTTAAGTTTTGTTGAGGATAATAATATGTTATTTAGTGTGTAATATGAGTTTGAGGGGCTTAGGGTTGAGTTTGAGGGGGAATATTTTTTTAATTTAACTTATGTGTTTTAGTTAATACTACAACAAAATATGTTTTTAGCGGCTTTTTCAGTCCTTTAGCTTCGTTTTTAAGCGCTGTTAAAATCTTTTTCGATACTAGAAAAGCCGCAAAATCATCGGTAAAGAAAATGCAACAACAGTTAGCGGCGTTTGTGAACAAAAAAATACTGCAAAAGGTCAAGATCTATAGAGGCGTTTTAGAAACTACCGCTTTAATATGTTAATATCTTTAGCGTCATTTTTGAAACAAATGCCGCAAAAGAACAAGCTATGTAGTGGCGCTTTTGGAACAAAAGCTGCTAAAACCTTGTCTGTAGTGGCGTTTGTTTTATCAAACGTCGCTATATGTTCTGATATGTCCAAAACACCGCAAATATGCCATTAGTGACGTTTCTTCACAAAACGTCGTAAAAGACTGTGATTCTAGTGCATTTGTTTACAAATGCCGCTATGATTAATTCATTTTCCATATATTATTTTCTACTCTATATTACATAATTTTAATATCATGTAACATTATATAATTAACATTAAGGTTAATTTAATTACGACATAAATTATGTAGAAAAATATGTACAACAACAAAATAAATTAAAGTTTATAAACATTAAAATTAAATGTAATTTAGTTTAACATTGTTCATTAGAATTTAGTCTAGGTTTTTTCTCTTTCAATTAAAAAAACATTGTTCACTAAAATTTAAAAAAAAAAAAACATTCTTCAAGTGGCAATTTTGAGTGGCAATTTTGAGCATCAATATGCAACATCAGTTGATTAATACTCCATCTGACTTTGAGTATTCAACTGGGAATGTAAATTAGCAACCTGCAAAAGGAAATGTGTTAATTAGTTCCAGAATATGTGCAGCAAAATCAAATGATAAAAGAGAGACACGATTAACTTTTCTCTATCAGCAAATGCAAATACATATTATTTTATCTAGAAACAACTTGGATTTCAGCTTACAATGAATTTTCACGTGCACTCACTTTGAACTAATGGAAACTAACTTTGAAAAAATAAACATATCTTTTATGAATTTACAGACAACAATAACTAACCTGTTTTAGATAATCATGTAAAAACATTATATGATCTTCAGTCTCAACATCATTTGCCACACACTGCCTTTCTCAATCACTCCACGTTTCAAGTATCTATGCAGTATAATAGAAATAAGAAAAGTGAGTCGTGTGAATCAAAAGAAACAACAAGATTACGTGAAAAAACAGTTTATTTATTATCTCACAAAAGCAATCACAAACTAAAGCACAAAAATAAGGATGGAAAATAAAATCAAAGTGAAACCAAAAAGACAAACGAAAACAACACAATAAATCTAGAAGGCATTTCAATCAGTAACTGTAAAGCCTCTTAACCTTACCCCAGCATAATGTCGAGAACGCCTTGCAATGAGAGTCAGGAAAATATTCCCGTGAGAACCTGAATTAGTAAGAGAGAGAACGTGGAATAATTAGCTTATAATAAAAACAACGAAGAAATTTCTAAATGTTCAATTCAGCAAATGGTACAAGTACAAAAAAAATATCAATGGATCTGAATGAGTTCAGCACATGATTGTGGAATGATTCAGATTTCAAATTGCTAAAAAGCAACTAGAATTGACTTTTTAATAAGCTAAATCAGTTCTTTCTTTACCAATATATACCTCAACTTCTAGAACGCTCATCCAGTTCCCTATCATATCCTTGTTAGAGTTTTACATACAAGTTAATTAAAAAAAAAAAACTAGCACCACTTTTTTAACCAACTCTTGCCACACAAAATTCCTAATTTGAGTGTTCCTAGATCACACAAATCACCAAAACATCCAAACAATCCGAAGAAATAAAACCTTGGGGAAAGGCTCTCGGTTTAGCTCAAAACGCAAATCCTAGTCTACGAATCTTTTGACTAAGATAAGTAGCACTCTGATTTAGAATGTGATGAGAGCATTTACTATTGGTTGTCTATTTTCTTTCTAGACTGATTTGAGAAGGCAAACAAGAGGGAGCCATTTCGGCTATCACAATAAAAAGGTTATCATGCAACAAATATAGGACCGGTTTCCATTAAACAGAATGAACATATTAATTGAAAAAGCACATCAAATCCTACATAGCTGATAGTTTGGGGAGAAGGCAGAGGTTTTACTATCAAGGTTTAAGCAGATGTCTAGTAAACTTAAGCTAAAGATAGCGATCAAGCAACAACAATAACAAACTTAGAACCAGATAAAAACAACAATCACAAACCAATGAATGATAAAAAACACCATCACCAGCTAAAGAGCGACTCAATTAAGGCCTATATAAAGCATTTACATAAGAAAAAATGAATGAAAAAAGAGAACTATTCATACCATCTTTGAAAGCAGATAATGCTTCCTGATCCTGCACAAATTCAAAGATAATTAAGTTTCAGAATAATGCAGCGACCCATTTATACATGAAAGACCTAGGAGTTGAAAATGGATGGCTATAGCCCCTACAACCACATAAACAATGAATACTAAACATCATAAGCTTCCCCTGTAACCATATCTAACAACATCAATGCAAGATATTCTTTATCAGTGAATCAGATTGTACTGACCATGTCCGAAAGCACTAAAAACATTCCAGTTTTCGATTGGATAACTAATTACTTTAATGAAGTAATCCCTTCAAGACAAAGAAAATAGAAAATAACTTGGGCTTAAGTTGGTAGGTGCATCCTAAACTTTATTTTAATAAGATATTAATTGTTTAATCATAATGAGCCCATACCAAAGGTGCCAACAGGATTGTAGACAAGTCTATCGAATTTGATCAAGTCAACAGGGAAAGAAACTGGTAATTATTTGATACACAGACTGTAAAATTATATATGAAAAGTTCTTTGTTTTGGGTTGGGGATGAACCGTGAATATTATTGCTTGGATGATCAAATATTGTTCAATGCAATATTGTATTACTTAGTCAACAAATACGTTCCAGGAGCTTCATACATACCTATAGGGAGAATGGATAGTGTGCTTATAACCATGTTGCTCCATGCCTGCCCTATGGAATTCCTCTACTACTGGCTTCATAGAGCACTGCACCATCATTATCTTTACTCTCGTTACCATTCTCATCACGATTCCTCAATTGTCACCGAACCTATTTCTTGTAAGTACCTCTCCTTTTAAACAATTTGAGCTTTGAACTGTAATAATATAATGAATGTCGGTGTCGCATCTGTGATACATCCATTTGCAGAGCTCGTAGCATACTATGCCCTGTTCACAATACCAATGTTGACAATAGCTCTAAATGGAACTGCATCCATCGTCTCTGTTGCTGGCTACGTCACTTACATCGACTTCATGAACAACATGGGACACTCGTTCCGAATTGGGTCTTCTCCATTTTCCCTCCTCTCAAGTACCTAATCAACACTCCATCGTATGTCCTCTCTCTTCCCTTTCGTAATCAAATTCCTTGGTACTTGCCGTGAACAAATCAGTAAAACTGCAGAAACTCTTTATATACAAATGTTTACTAGTTTATTTAAGGAAATTGAATCTCTAAATTCAATAATAACATAAATCAAACAGAAAAACTACAGAAAATCAAAAGAAATCAACATGAAAAATTGAAACAAGATTGAGGTAGAGGAGATATGTAATTACCTGGATAGTAGAGTTCATAAAGTTGATCCACATCTGAGAGAAAGGGGGAGAAAAGAGCTTTAAACAGGTAAACGGGAAAGAGGAAAGCATACGAAAGATTTACCAAAAATCAAAGCACGAAGGATGGCGGCGATGGAAAATCCAGCAAAACCTAACTTGGATTGACATCCAGATGCATTGTTGAAAGGGGCAGGGGAACCAATTACTTCTTGAAATGAAAGATACAACAGAAACCCTAGATTTTGACGATGAGAAGAACCAATTAGTTTAGAGTTTTGATTACGGTAAGGTAAGACTCTTACCAATCCAGATGATTGAGGTCTCTGATCACCTCCTATTGAGTCAGGCAGACGTTCCAAAATGCTGACTCGCATGTTTTTTTTTTAAATGTGAACGAAGAAAATCTAAAATAAGTAGAAAACAGATCATATGATGAACAATAATGGCGTTTGTTAAAAACATCACTATGCACAAATCGTACTGTGCGTTTTTAATTACGAACACCACTAATTATCTAAAATATTGTGGGGTGTAATAAAAAAAATTCACTATGAGCTCTATTGCGACGTTTGTTGAAAAAAACACTACTAAATTATAAGTATTTAGCGGCATTTTTAACGCCACTAATATTACCATTTAGTGGTGTTTCTTTTATAAATGCCGCTATATGTAAAAACTTATCATGTTTACTCTCAAAACACCGTTAAAAATGCCGCTACAAACTTATTTTTCTATAGAGTTAGTAGTTTCAAAATTATTAGATTACAGGGTCAAAAGTATCAACATTCTAGGCCTAAATGCTAAAAAAGCGATTTTATTAGTATGAATTTGAAGACTCATGTTAATAATATGATCTCATGGTTTCAAATTTGAACCTTAAAGCTAATTTCGAAATTGGACCTCACAATGACCCTTAATAAAAATCTTATTCTTAGCCTTAGTAATAATATTTGGGATTATCCCTTAATAATAATAATTGGTTAATAAGTATTGGTATCCATAAGGGTTAATAGACCTAGTAGCAATATATTCTTAGTAGCTCTTAGTAGTAATGGTTGTTTAATGGGATTGGTGATAGGACCTACTATGTTTATTGATACGTCTTAGTGGCAATGTGGTACATGATATGGTTAAAGGCCACGAGGCTGTCATCACATGTAATGGGTGAGGAGGAGCATGAATTTTGTCTCTTAGATTTGGCACTTATGACATTTTCTGACATAATTAATATAATCAGTTTTCATTGTTGACCAATAATACCCTGATCTCATCATCTGTCTAACCAAAGCAAGTCTATTAGCATGGGTACCACATACACCCTCATGCATTTCTTCAATGATCGTTTAAACTTCATTGGAATCCATACATCTCAGTAGAAATTGATATGAGTTTTTTCTATACAAGATCCCACCATTCAGTATGTATTCGACAATCATTCTTCTAGTAGTTCTTTTATCATCCTTAGTTACCTCCTCATGATAACTTTAATACATGATATACTACAAGATATGATAGTATCAGGGATTTTCATATTCTTCTTCCTTAATGTTATAACAATGAGCTGGGTACTCATAAGAATACATATCAATGAGCCTCATACTTGAATGTTCATTTACTTTAAATGTAGCTGCTAAAGTGGCCAATATCTTCCATTTGATTCTCTTCTCTGGAGAGATAATTGAATATCACTTTCTCAAATTCTTCAATCAGTTCCATGACCAATTTACGGTATTCCACGAGCTTATGATCTTTTGTTTCAATTTACCTCTGGGTTGATAAATCACTAAAGTTGAATCCCCATACACCTTAAGTGTCTTCACTTTGCGCTCGATAGCAGCTCTAAGACCCAAAACACAAGCTTCATATTCAGATATATTGTTTGTATAGTCAAAGTTCAAACGACTGGTAAAAGGATAGTGATCTCCTTTGGGAAAAACCAGAATTGTCCCTATTCCATTCCTCAATGCATTTGAAACACTATCAAAGTTCAACTTCCAGTACTTGTAGAAATGCTTGATTCTTCTACCAAAATAGCCATCAAATCTTCACCAAGAAAATCAAAATTTAATGGTTCATATTCTTCATAAGCTCTACTTGCTATGAAATATGTTATATCACTCCCTTTAACTATTTTTTTGACTTATGTACTAGATATCAAATTTTGATAGTAGAATCTGCCAATGGGTAATCTTTCAGACGGAGTCTGTACACCCAATAAATATTTTAAATGGTTCAATTTAGAGATCAACCAAGTGGAGTGATACAACATATATGGTTTAAGTCTTCAAGTGGCCTAGACTAGTGTACAACATAACTTCTCAATTGGTGAATACCTCGCCTTACAATCAGTAAACTTTTTGTTGAGGTAGTAGATCACTCTTTTTTTCTTCTCATTATGGTCATGTTAACCCAATATATACCCCCATCGAATTCTCAAAGATTGGCAGGTTCAAAATTAATTGTTTGACGAAGATAGGTGGCATTAAGATTGAGTATTAGAAAAATACAATTTTACTGCTTCAAAGGCCTCTTGACAATCATCACCCTATACTTCTAGGTTATTTTTTCGAATGAGGTGAAAAATAAGATCATATTTCTCGGTCAATTAAGAGATAAATTATAGTTTAATCTTCTTAAGAAAATTTGAACTTCTTTTTGTGTTTGTGGGGATGACATTTTTTTTAATAGGTTTGACTTTTTCGCGGTTTATTTGAATCCCTTTCTTACTAACTACGAAGCCCAACAATTGCCCAGATGTTACCTCGAAAATACATTTATTCAGATTTTCAATTGTCATTTCCTCAATCTTTGGAAAAAATTTCTCAGCTTCTCAACATGTTCTTGCGTTGTTTTCTCCATGGAATTATATCATTAACATGAAATTCTATTTCTTAATGCATTATGCCATGAAAACAATGTCACCATGGTTCTTTGGTACATTGACCCTATATTCTTCAACCAAAACAGAATCACTTTGTGGCAAAACGTGCCCCACATGGTAACAAACATGGTCTTTTCCATATCTTCAAGGTGCATCTTTATTTGATTATAGCTAGAGAATCCATCCATGAATGAAAACATGGAATTTATAGTAGTATTATCTACTAGGGTGTCTGTGTGGTAAAGGAAAATTATCATTCGGACTTGTCCTATTGAGATCTTTGTATTCAACGTACATTCAGACTTTTTCATTCTTTTTTGGTACTGAGATGATATTAGCCACCCATTTAGGGTACTTAGCTACTTTAAAGAATCCAACATTGAATTGCTTCTTCACTTCATCTTTTATTTTAGTAGTATATCAGGTCTCATTATTGTGAGCTTTTGTTGTACCTATTTGCACTCTAGCTTTATTGGCAACTTATGTACCACTTTTTTTGTAATTAAACTTGGAATGTATTCGTACGACCAAGAAAACACTCTAACTTGGAATATTCCTCACCAGACCCTAAATTTATAATTTCTATCAGCTCTTTATGAGATAGAATTTGTTTGTCATTCCTGTCCATCATTTTCAATAGTTTAGAAGGCAAATCATATTCATTCTCATCATCACAATTCTTTATTTCCCTTTGACATATGGGCATCTCAAAATCAACCTCCAAGTCAGAGTCATCGACATTCATGCCATTGATATTTGGGGTCATGAAAAAATAACGAACGAGAATATATATTAACATATATACAAACGGGAGAGTTTATCCCATATTGAATAAATATAATAAAATATCATACACATATAATAGAAAATGAAAGAATGAATGAAAGAATGTTTACCATGTGAGATTTAAGGAAATATATCTTTTATTACAAATTAAAGACATATAGTTTAACCTTAGAATCACTTATTGCCATGGGTTTAGACAATAGGGAAAAGTTCTCGTGTATTACTCTAAAACATTTTTGTAAACTACATGTCGTTCCTTTACAATCCAATTGTTCAACACAAATCCTGGTAGAACAAGGTAAATTCGCACAACACTTTCTTCTTCTTCTTTATCCTCGAGGATGTCATTAATGCTCAAATCCTCCATGGCATCATCGACAACAAGCTTCTTCAGTGGCTGGCTTCTATGAAACATGTACCACTAGATAGAATATCTCATTAAGTGGTGGAAAAGTCCTCGACTCCCATTTGAGGTATTCTCCAGCCCACCTAGCTCTTCTACTCTCCTGACCCTTTTGGATTTATTTCAATTTCTCCTTTAGGTTTAGCTAATATCCTAAACCAAAGTGATCCCTTTTGGTGGATGAGGATATGACATTGACAGATCCCTAGAGACGCTTTCCAAAGTTTATTCTAACTCTTGCTCTTCTTCTAAGGGTTAGTTAAATTCCCATCCAAGAGCATCAAGCCATAATTTCAACATTCTTTTCTCTTCATCCATAAAGGTGGCATTGATGAACTCGAGAGATCTAAAGGAACACTTAAGGGCTTATTCATCCACCTCAGCGTATGGTATATTGGTAGAAACATATGCTACTATATACTCCTCGATGTAGATACATATCATCATTCATTTAATTATGAATTTTAGCTTATAGTGCAGTGTGGATAGAACATGCCCTCCTTGATAGATCCATGGTCTCCCCAATAGATAGTTATAAGTGGGCACGATATCCATCATAAGGAACTTAACTTTATATATAGATGGATCAATGGTTAGAGTGATGTTGATCTTACCCAAGACTTCTCTTTTTGTTTCATTAAATACTTGGACTACACTCTGACAATTCCTCATGTATGTGTGTTGTCAATAGGTAACTTTTTTAGGGTCACTAATGTCATTACATTTAGTGCAGAACCATTATCGATCAACACCCTTAGTAATACATATCCCTTACACCTGATAATAATATGGAGAGCTTTGTCACTACCGATCATTCTAGAGAGGATCTCATCATCGGAGAAGGAAATAAAATTATCTGTCTGGTTGTTGGTGACTAATATGTCTTACTTGTCTACAGATAAATTATGAGGTACAGAAGTTCGACTCAAAACCTTCAACAGAGCTTTTTGATGTACTTCAAAATTTAGCAAGAGAGCAAGCACTGAGATGCAAGAAACAACTTGTGTAACTGGTCAACAATGTTCTACACACTATACTTCAAAATTTAGCAAGAGAGCAAGCACTGAGATGCAAGGATGATTAGCATTGTATACTCCCCTTATGGAACCCTCGAATGTACAAATCTATGTTTCTTATTTTTTTTCTCAACCTCCTTGTAAAATGATCTCTTTTTCACCTATCATCTCTTGTACTAAGGCTCAAAATTTAGAACATTCTTGTATGTTGTGCCCCTCTTACTTATGATACTAAAAAATATTCTCATTATCAGATTATTCTAGTATTGAGCCCAGGACCA